GTTGATTGCTCAATCAAATCGTGCCGGGTGAAATTCGCCACAAAAAATACTTTGCATAAAATCCCTTTTAATAAGTTGCTTAGATAGAGAATTCCAGAGCCAGGAAAATGTCAAATATTGCAGCATAAATTTTAGTCACACAAAGGATCGTCTCATATAGCGCGCTCGTTCATTCGTCCACCTAATGTATGCCACAGTACACTTCGGATTCCCGGAATCCCATGTCGACATGATAAATAACGTAACCTTGGAGGAAAAAAGAAAAGATATATGAATCCAGCCCTGCTTCGTGGAGTTAACAAAAAGAAGTTAATTATTTTCTGCCATGATTATTTATGCCACCGTCAGGAGCGGGGGAAAAGTTGTTGTGCATTTCCAAACCGACTGGGAAATTTTCGCCACTTGGATGACCTTACTTTTTAGCGGTGCGCCCTTGACAAATCAACATAAAATAGTAATACTATTCGCAAAGAAAAAACGGAGGAGTTGATTAACAAACACAACCGTATAAGCGGACAATTGGCACCGCGACTAAAACAGGTACCTTTTAGGTTCTTACAATAGCCTTACAAGTTGGAAAACCTTAGGTGTTTCAGCTGTCAATGCAAGAATTTTTTACCAACTTCAATTTACTCTCTCCGACTTCAGACGACGTTCTCAGAAAGCACTGAGTCATGCGCTCAGATGAAGCCGTTTAAGCCGTTGCATTTCTATTAGTTATCACGACATATGTTTTACTTACAGGTAATCAGTAGCACTTGCCATAAGAGGCTTCGGCACAAAAAACGGGGTCTTTCGCTTCTATAATATGATCAAATTAAGTCACACAATTACAAATGAAAATGGGGTCGTGTTAGTTACCCAAATAGGTCAGATTGAAAGCAGACTTCTCCACTGTTTAAAATTCTATTGAGGACTACTACTTGACCAATAAATAATAAGAACCAAAACCTCTGCAATCGAAAGTGGCAAACTAGGAAATCTGAGTTAAAAATAAAGAAAGATTTATAAAAAATGCAAAAAAAATTATATTATACTATTTTCGACATTTGATTTATGTGATTTTGAGTGGCAAAAAGGAAACTAGGTAGGTAGGAATTCAAGAGCACATTCACATTGAACATTCATTTGCTATGTTCATCACAAGCAGTCATCAAATACTCTCACACACACACACACACACACACACACACACACACACACACACACACACACACACACACACACACACACACACACACACACACACACACACACACACACACACAAATCTTTGGGATCGGAGAGTGATATCGGGTTTATGATCAGCACGCACGAAAACACTAACTGATTCTCTTAGTTTCTGAACCCCGAGCCAGGAATGCTTACTGCAAGCCCAAAAAACGGAATACTTATGATTTACGGAACAGCGGTCAGTCTGATACAGTTTTTACTCTCTCAGCTTAATGACAGACTAGACGCACACAGTCCCAGCCGAACCATTAATCTAGAAGGGCGTAAAAGTCGTCCTTGGACAATTATTAATTTGGTGTAATTTGCAATTATGCACACGGTGTTATAGCTGTATCAAACACGAATACTGAAACACCCAATGGAACAAGCAATATGACCTTGTTTGTCTCCCACCTCTTGCAGCGCCCAGGGGGATTGTCCAGGCAAATTCTACGCTTAAAGGGACCATATCACGTGACCGTCGGCAAGTATAAGAGCATCCAGGAGGGGATAGAGTTGAAACACGCGAATAGCCGTCCCTCGACACGCCTATTTTTAGTGAATAATTCATACACAGGCAGACTAAAAAGGGAACGGCGCTGTTTCACAAGTTATTCTTCTAGCACACAGATATTCAAAATAGCTGCCAAGTTTGGCAACCAATCCCGTGTCGAGCACGCACTAGTGGGCGACTGATCGACCTTAGCCTGTCTATTTACTGCGGGTGACTAGCATTTTTCGCTGACCGAAGCACTGGGTGACAAGATATTAAAGCGTCACTAACTTGCGTGTGACTGCTGTCCGTTACTAATACACAACGAGAGCTGCACTTCCCACCGTGATTGATGCCCACTCCGCCACAATACTGCACCGCATTGCACACGTCCGCGGGCCAACACATACACCTTCATTTTCATGACGGAATGATTTACAATCCGCGTACACACAAGCGCACACTTAAACGACGCATAGATCAACCGCGTCACATGGATAACGTGCATGCATAATCGTTTTATATGATTGCTTGTTTGGTCTAAATACCACACGGCCTGTCGCCGACCTGTCAGCACTATTTTTTCCCACCAGTCCATTGCACTGCACACGCGGTTTTTTTTTTAAACACCAACGGCAAAAAAATGCTCGATAAGCCCCTACATCACAATTTATGGCTGGTACCAAGCGGAAGCCCAAATGATTTGTGACCCGTTCCTCGACAGTGCAAACTGACGGGAAGACGAAGACAGTTACTTGCGGCTGCATCTACTCAGTCCGGCGTGGATGCGCCACGTGCTAGCCACAAGTGTTCTGGTAGATGACACGAGGTGAGTCAGTCTGCGGGTCTGACTCCGCGCGATGACAGAAGTGCCTTGTGAAGAGGTGGTTTTTACCCAACTTTGCGCAGATGGCAGAGCACACTTTTTGCCTTTCACGCGTACGCGTCTGCGCAACACGACGACCAACTCTGAGACCAAACCGCGAGAGCGACGTGAGGCAGACGCTGCCATTGTCTGTCATTTTTTCCAAATGACTCAGATTCCAGTTTTGGTCCCTTACACCTTAAGTGGCAGTTTGTGGGTCGAGATTGAACTTAAACTCCAGCGCCGGGCGGCGGGCGGCGGCAGCAGCGGTGGCTCATCGATCGCCTTGGAGTCGGCTAATCGTAATTTTCATCGCCGCCCCGACAAACGGGTTGCTGGTGTGCGCGTGTGTGCTTACTCTCGAAGATGTCAAAAAATGACAGCTCTGTGTGTGCAATGATGACGACGATGTTTTTTGCAACCTGCTTACCACCAGCTCACGTCGCAGTATTAGCGGTTGACAAGCGCGTGCACGTTATCCTAACAGCTAAATTGGTCCCAGTTAAGTATTGAAGCTCTTCTACCAACATGAAATTCTCCTGCTGTCTGAAGTAGTGTAGCTGTTGGGAAGGTAGTATTGGCAGCAGTAGCAATGGTCCGTTTCTCCAGGCATCATCAGCGTGTACAATCTCTCGCCCTCGACGATTGCTACAACATTTCGCCCCACTTGTCACAGCTTTTCCGTATGTTCTTCCACAACCCACACAAGTACGCACATACGCGTATACGTCCATTCAATCATTCTATGTCGCGGGAAGGAAAAATAACGCATAGACCGTGCACCACATGATTAATAGGATGGGCGGGTAGGCAGGCCACAACACGCTGAAAGCAGGAGGAACACACCCACGCAAAAACACCGGGCTCATGACCAAAAGGGGAGTGAAGTGTGAACCCCCATCACAATTTCTGGGGGCAAGACTGCTGACGGTGCTGCTACCGCCACTGCTGCCGTCTGGGTGGTGCATACAACCCAACCCACCTTTCTTGGCCTCTTTCCTTCCTTCCTTTTATCAACTCGTGCGTGCAATTCTCCTTAGCGTAACTGCCTTCCTTTCTTTACCTCTTCTCACTTAAATCTCGGCAGCATGCACATGTCAACACCACCTTCACTGGCGCTGTTGGTTATAAGCTCCGATGTAAACAAATGATGCACATACTAAGATCTCACACCAGTGTTCTACTTTCTCCCACCACAGATAGATGTTACTGTAAGCCATTCATTCCATCAAGGCTAGAACACTACCGTTCCTTGGTCCCGTGGGACAAGGGAGAACAGAGGCTGGAAGAGCTAGGAGTGCATAAATTATTACCACCATTTTGGTGGAGAAAACGCGTTTGCACGTGGAGTAAGGAGGGAGCAGGCGAGTGGGCCTGCGGACAGGCGACGTAATGAATGTGGACAGAGTAGACAACAGCAGCGAATTTGATGAGGGAGCAAAGTCTACTCGCCAACTTTCTTCGTAGTAGTTAAGCTCAACAGACAGCTCCCGATGTTTTGGCCAAAATTATCAGCAGCAAGCTAACGCAGACACGCGCATGGCTATTTCTCCAAATTGGGAAAGGGAGGCAGAGGGAGAGGGGAGGAGGGGCGAAAACTGTTGTTGATGCTGTCGCTTCGGAGAGCAAGTGAGCCCAATCGAACGCGAATGACCAAAAGCAGCACAGCTCAGCAAATTAAATCTACTTGCCTAACAAAGCAGTTGCACGTGTTTGGCAAATTTGCTCATTTTTTATAGTTCAGAGGAAAAAGATTTCAGGAACGAATTTCAACTACCCTCCAGATGTTTGCAAATCAGGTCGTTCATAATCATGACCCGACATTCTAAAAGTCATGAATTCGATTCCAGCGGAGCGGGAAGAGGAATCCTATATTTCAGCGGTCATCTTTATCAGGATTACTCATCTGACTGTCGACGCTAATTATAGAAATTGCGCATTCCCCTCCTAGCAAAAAGGACCTGCGCAACTTTGTTCAGGCTGACTATTTCTGCCGCTGTTGCCTCTTCCACCACTTCTGCTACCACCATCACCGACAAGGCGAGAAAATTCTAAGCCCTTTAATTGAACACCGAAATTCGATTTTACCTTCTAGTAGGTAGTTGTCGGGGCAAGTACGCTGTGAAATGGTGCGAGGCGGAATCCTGAACAATATTGAAGGGGAATAAATATGCTGGTTGCGTGGCTGTACAGCAGCTATCCATTGTCAAAAACCCACATACACACACCCTTTGAATATGATTTATGGTGGGGGAATTTGAAGGGCTTTTTATATACGTACGTACTTAAAAGTACGCAGGAATGTCCCCTGAGCATAGCCTGAATAAAAGGACACGGCACCGTTTCCCCTCACACCCATATTTGAGCCCTCGGACGCAGTTTATCAGCGAACAAACGCTCATCTATCTCTCCCTTACTGCAGTGGCACTAATGCCATCACAAGACCTCTTCGCCTTGCCTACCATTTATTATCGAGTTCATTCGGGATTCTCTGCTGCACCCGGTGAAACTCAAAAGTTGGATGGAGAAAAAAATATTGGAATGGTAAATCCAGCGAGTCGGATGCCCGTTGGACAATCCATTGCAGTCGGGATCGGATTTTCTGCTTCTTTAGCATACAATTATTCAAAGCGGTTTTAAAAATCAGAAAAGTCGATGCCTCGCCTTGCGGTACGCTTCCACCAGCCTTGAACACCCGGCTCAAGCGTGGTAATCAGGGAGTCCGCCGACGAAGTGTGACTAACTCCCTAGCATCCTCTTCACCGCTGCAACGCGCTCGCCTCATTGTTCGGTGTAAGGACTTAATGGAGACTAACTTCGTGAAAATCTTTTGCTGAATGCGATTCAAATAAATCGGGAGGCCACATTGTGCCACAGGAAGTAAGTGGCACTTCTTTTATACCTTAAGCGGGTCCACTTGCAGTTAAAACGACCATGAACAATCTACCTTTCTCGTTGTGGCCTCCTTACGCTGCTCAGCATTGCTTACACAATATTGTCAGTAGACTGATTAAATGCGTTTTATCGCACAATATCCTTCCTACCATGGCAGCATTCTTTACAGCCGTCCGGCGTCCAAACTTCAAGTTGCGCTTCAATGCGACATTTCTCATTTGTTAGAACCGATACTAAATAACCCGAAACATTGGTTGAAGAGATGAAGTTAGGATTCACATTCACTCTGACAGTCACTTCAATCTGGTGGCAGGTGTACATGTCTACTGCCTCAAATGAATCGGAATGGAAATCAGACGTCCCAAAATGAGGTGGTAAGTCAAATCTATTACCGATGGGTCTAATACACCCTGCATTGTGTGTGTGCGCGGAGTGACAAACTGCGAAACCGTATAGACTGAACGCGGCATATTTGCATTTTGATGGACTTGCCATCAGACCGAGAGAAAGTAAAAGTGAGGTCTACTAAGCCCCCTCCCCTCACTCAAGGTGTGTCTGTCAAATTACCGCGTGGCTCGGGAGGCGCCTCTGAACAGCGGCACACACACGACACCGACGCTTGCCAGTGTTCATAAACCCACCTGACGATTAACATGTTCGGAAGGTCCGCACATTCGCCGAAATCCAGCCTTGTGATAATAGCTAGTAAGAGACGTGATCAGCTTCCGAACGAATGACACAGGATAAGCTTCAGCGCCCAGAGTTGAAGTACCATCGAAATTAGAAATTGCATGAGCCTTTCCAGAATTAGCCCTTTTGTTCCACATTCAGACTTGCGTCACAAAACGTCTTTTCAGACCATAGGGTGTAGGTAGTTGCTTCTCTTTTAATACTACCACCTTCGATCCTTACGGGAACAGATGCGTGGGAGGAAAAAAACGGAATAGTGAATCATCTCATCTCCTGCTGCCGTTTTGGAAGGCGGTCCTCCCATTACTTACCTCCAAATCACTAAAGAAGGAGTTGTGTCTGCGCCTAAGGGAAACTTCGAGGCATCAGGTTATAACCGTGCTCAAATACTGGCATACACAAGTATACGTACTCATCGAGCCAGGGCCATTGGTGTCTAAGTCAGTTGGTGGGGGGATGAAGGACCGGCATTTAGTTCTTTTGCCTACTGGTCATCAATCAAGCACCATATGTCTAATAGGAGGGCTGCTGTATGACGCGTTGAGTCATAGAGAGCTACTCATTCTCTTGTGCCTAGTTGCTAGGTCGAGGAGTTGGTGGATAATTTGATGGTACGCCGCACTTGCTGCTCAACACTTGACACACTCAAGCGAAACGACTCCAGGCAATTGCAGTGGGGCGGTGAGCGCGCTTTTGAAGGTAGGGACATCAACCGGAAACGAAAATTGCGCAGGATTTTCTGTCAACCTTCCCCCTCCCACCTCCCACCATGCTCAAAACAATCTTCACCGCCGGGCCGCGGATGTATGCATTAAGAGCGCGTCCATTTGTCATACGCGCTGCCCAAGCCTTTGTCAAAGCAAACACCCCCGTTTCTAATTTATGGAAATATCAGAGCGTTAACAAAGCCGTAAAATGAGGACTATTCTCCCACACTAAAATTGCGAGCCATAATGAAGCTTCGAGCCCTAAATAGGAGGTATGAAAACACTGAAAAGTTATTAAACATCTTAAGGTAGAAACAAATCGACCACTACTTAGTATTGACGAAATTCATACCGAAGGGGTTATAATGAGACATTCCATGTACTTTTTTCGAGACTATTGCGGAAGGAAGTGAGATTCAAGGGATGAATTCATTGTATTGAGTATTTCAACTGCCTCTAATCATATTGCTACAAATTCCACCCCTAGACAAAAATGGAATTAAGGGTAGAACCTCGAGGTCAGTGTGACTCTTTGAACCCTGCACCTTAATTCTACGAGTAGGAGGGAATCTCACTCTTTTGAATGTGTATGATGTGGTGGTCTGGGATGAATGATTGAAAGGATATGTGTGATTCCACAGTGTGTGCGAGTCACAAAAAAATACCGCAGAACACGTTTATGGTGGGAATTGAACCCAGTAATTGAGACAAGTCCACCTGACATAACCATGTGTGTGCTTGTATGAGAGTGTGGGCACGAAAAACATAAGTGTGATTTGCACATCTGCTACAAATCGCAAGACAAATGCATGCATCCGGTGGCGAATTTATTGAACTGCATTTCCTCTTCGCCCCCCTGTCGTGCTACGTGAACCACACGGTGGCGGTTCTGGTTCAAGAAGAGAGCGTGGAGAAACGTGGGTCTCCCGAAACCGCAGGGCAGACGACGCAGAGATACCCACTACACACGAATATCCATAAGTGTTATGCTAACTCGGGAATACAATTATTATGGGCGCCATAGTTTGGACAACGGTGTAAGATCGGGCTAGAATATACGCTGCACACTGAATACAACAAAGTTGGAGGGGCTACCACTAAGAAGGATCTTTGGACATGCCTGCTGAAAGTAACCATCGCCGAGAGTAGTAAGCCCTTGAAAGGGTTTAAAAACGGAAGCCGGCAATTCAAAAACCAAGTTGGACGCTTGTGGAACGGTGTCTTTGATTCCATCGGAAGGGGACAGATGTGGTAGAAAGAGGAACTACGCTTCAAAGATCGTTGCGGAAGGGGGAAGAGGGAGGAAGGAAGGAAGGAAGGCAGAAGAATAGATACACAAACAGGACGCCAGCTTGTGGGTTGCCGAAAAAATGCGCATACGCCCGTCTAGGTGGCTGTCAGTTTGGTGTGCAAACCGGAAGGCACACTTGTTGATTTAATGTAAATGAGGACAAGCTGGCAGAACTCAGTGATTTAAAACGCCTCCAACCTGCCTCTATTAATTTTGAAGTTTGTTGATTAATGCAATTGCCAACCCGTAAATTCTGCTGCCACATCATTCAAGTCCAAGAAACCTAAGGATCAAAATTCACTTCTCAGGCAGATGGAAAACAGTCAAAAAGCAAGAGTTTAGGGGACCGCCTTCTCTCGGTTCCACTCCTACGTCGAAAGTGGGGCAACACGACGCTGTTCGAAGCTGCCACTTTAGCGAATGAGATGCAGCGGTGGTATATGGCAGAAATAGAAAACGCTTGACTTTACTCACAACCGCACGGAATTACCGAAAAGCTTCCAACTACGCTTACGCATCCCCTCCTGACATCTACAACCACATGTTGTAAACTTGGTAGACCCAAATTTAAATTGAATATTTAAGTGCAGAATTGAGATACAGTCCAGTGGCACAAATTGCCTGGTAAAGTTTCTTAAATTTTGTGACATTGGACTTAGAGTGGAGAGGCGGACATTTTCGTTACTACCGTCCACTCCTTAAACCGTAAGTAGCAGTCTTATTGCTAGCCCCGCCTCGCGAACAAAAGCCAGGTAATTAGTGAGATTGCTTCCTCACCCTCCCGCCAATCGAAATGAAGCCGAGGTAGACCGAAAGGATGCAACAAAACAATGTTTTGACAAAGATGTGGTGCCTTGATCCAGTGAGCTCGTAGCCGATGCTGTTCCTACTGCTGTGCCCATTTCCAGTGACTAAGTCATCCTACCAGACAGCAGGAGTTACTCACGTCTGCACAAAAACTACCTGCAGGCGACTATTTTTCCTTGCGCTGGGAAAAAAGCACTCACTACAACATGAAATGGAGAAGGCAGCGGCAGTGTTGGCGAAGCCATAGCACAGTACGACAAAGCAAGGGAAGAAGCAAAAGAACAAGATGGGCGGAGGAGGAGAGTGAAAACGACAAGAGACGGAGCATCGTACCGTCCGCTTGCCTGTCCCTTTTTTCCCTTCTAAAACAGACGTGATTCGCCTACCGCTACCCCGCCTATTCCTTGTCTTTGTACAACCCAGCCAATCAATCGAACCGCTGTTGGCCAAGAACGCTCTCCTTCCATGTGTCGGCCACGGCCTCACTGGGCATCAGGTAGCAAATCAGATAAGTGGGAAATAAGTGTCTTTTGGCCTACAGATCCCACTTTGCGTCGAATTGGCAGCTGTTTAACCGCTTTACGACCTACATTCGTCTGTCTTTCCACGTAATTACGGCATTACGACTTTTATTATCGTGTGTGCACGCACGGTATGTGGAAGGGCTGTGTAATGATGATGACTTGTTTGATGTATTCTCAATGAAATGTGTGTGCGTGTCTGCAAATGAGGCCGCGACGGCGGAACGCCCGCCTGTGTGTGAACGTGTGTGTGTGTGTAAATGTGCAGGCGTACGCCAGAAGAACAATAAAACTGCCCCAGTAATAAAATTTATGCACTCGTATACATAGTAGCAGACACACAAAAAGACCCACATTTATCCACAATGGGGACAGAAGACCCATAAACAGGGGCAATATACGCATGAAGGTGTATTGACTCACCGAGGATATTGAGCAGCAAGCAGAGAAGACACAAAACCGGGATTTCCATGACTGTGACTATGTTGGCTTGCGAGGCAATCCTAGGTCATAGCGTCATGTGCGCAAGTGGGATGGAGTGCGTTGGGAGGCGGGAATGCAAACACACTTTCACATACAAATCGAGAGGCGAGAGAACGAGAGAGCGAGCCAGCAGTCTGAGAGAGAGAGAGCCAGAGCCGGAAAGACGCACGAAGTGAGGGCGACAGAGAAAGAGGAATGACATTAATAGCTGAACACGCACGCGCGCGCACGTATACGCGTAGGTACGTGCGTGCACAGGTCTCCGCACGAGTGTGTGCGTGCACGAGATGCACTCGGGCTGGAGGTGCGTGGGTGCCACCCCTTGTGCATGCAATCGCTCCACACATACACAACGCCAATCAGAGATATGGTGGAGCTTTTTGTGGCGAGTATATCGCGCACATGCCGACGGTGCGTCGACCTCCTCCGTTGCATGTGTCCGCTGCCCCGCTGCCGTTGGCGCCGACTCCATCGGTGAGGTCCTTGGCTCACAGCGTCGTGTCCACTAGAACTGGTAATTAGTTCAAGAATGTGTAATTCACGTTCCCCATTCAGACCGTCGAGTTGAATCAGTGTCCATTTGTCGCATATCACTTCATTGCAGGGTGAATGGAATATTTTTTCTAGCTTTTGGTAGATTTTTATGGGAGTTTGTGGAAAAAATGGTAATTTTAAGAGTCCAAACATCTCTTCTCCACTATAGGCAAGTCAGCATTAATTCCGATGCTGCTGTTGGCTTTAGCTAAGTAGAGAGGTCCGATCTCTACCTTATTGTAGCTATAAAAACATACCAGCTCGGCGCGAACAACGGCCTTCCCAGTATTTGGTTTAACCCTAGTTAGAAAACTTGAGCAATTACATCTTGGTAGAGGTAATTTAATTCTTTTTAATTACAACACAAGTCGTCAAAGAAAGTTAAGACAACCCGTCTCGAGATTTATGGGATAATTGATGTTGGAAGTAATTTGGACTGAGGGATCAAAAATTACTTTTCGTAAGCCTAAATGAACCTCGAGGCTTGATTCAGGTAGGACGTTTGCTTGAATCATTTCGATGGAGGATTGACCAAGCATTCATCCTTTCAAAACAATTTACGAAGAAAGTCCCATTAAGCTATTTTTGTGTGGCATTAGGCTTTACTTTTAAATCCTCCCTTGAGGATTAATGGGAAATTCTAAGAGCAGTGCCATTACTTACAAAGAGATGAAAGAATACATTGTCAAAAGTCCTTTTTAAACAATAAGGCATTCCTTTACTCAAACAATGTTACACTCAAAGGGCAAGGGAAGTGAAATACGATCGGCCTTTGCAGGAGAGGTTTAATGTACCCCCAGGTCCCCGGACTACTACTATTGTTAGAACTGGACGGTGCCAAATATCAAAGTAGATTCATTTCTAACTGGCCTTCTTTTACAAAATTCAATCATTTGGCAGGAAAGCCTTTTTGAACTGTGAATAGGTTAAGTAAGCTAGCTCTTTTATACAAAGAATTGTAAGAGCATTATGCTAAAATCGGAATAAACGAACAGAGGAATCATTAACTCATAAAACACGCTATTTTTGAAGTGTTGACAGTAAAAGTACTGCACAGGAAAGTGATTTGAAAAGCAACTTCATTTGTGATTGAATCAGGATAGACCTTGAAAGCGTTTATTTAAGATCCCTACAACTTCATGGAACCTTGCCTACTAAACAAAGTGCCAAAGTAGATTAATCTCTATGAGGTCTTATTTTCGTAACATTCTGTTCTGTGGAGAAGGCCCTTTATGAAGACTAATATGTTGAGTGAATCAACCATGCTTAAAAACAGATTTGAGGTGAAAGAACAGTTTCGCTAGATTGCGAAAACAGAAATCGCAAAATCCTTATCGAAAAACAGGTAGGTCATTTAAGTAAAGGGCAAATAATAAGTTTGTCAAGCAACTTAAATCGTAATGTCTGCTCAATGGCAACTTCTCTCCGATTCACAGGTTGCTGCTTCGTAAAGTCCGACTCTATCAAAGGTGAGAGTATGAATGCAAATAACCGCTAGCTTTCACCTTTGAGCAAACGTTGCAATGAAATAAAGGAAGAGAAGGGAGTTTGGTATTACCGCCACTAAATCATTCAGTACACCGCAGAAGATCGTCATAAATTTGCCCTAATCCCGATGGCGCCCATGAAGCCGGTTGCCGCTACGCCATAGCCAGGAAGGCGCAGTTATTGTACCCGGTTGATGTATTGCGCCGACGCGGACACTACTTTGTTTCCAGATTGTGTGCTTTATAGTAATATGCAAAAAAGAAGTATAAAAATGAAGCAGAACAGGACTTGGTACTACTGGACGTTGAACTACAGGAGCTCTTCAGTCTCCGTAGATTTGGGTTGTGGTAATCTATCCATCTCATTTTTGTTGACAGTCCACCTAACCTCCTAAACATCCCATTGATAAAGGTCTGTCTAGACTTGTACGGCACACAATGCTGTCATGTTGGACCCGGGTGCTACAATTGGATTCCATTCATCTAGACGTATTTTCAAGGCCCTAAGGGCATTTTAGTAACCCTCGCAAACAAACTCACAACTAAGGGAAGCAATGGACTTGACCACAGGGATATTTTTAAATACAAATGCTAATAGTTTAGACTACTGTTTCCAAAATTTCACATTGTTTGCGTCAAACTCCTTCAAGGAAAAGTACGATCGGTCTTTCATGTTTTATTGACTTCTTGATCAAAATGCAGCTTAAGTGGAATGCTGAAGAACCTTGCTTTTGGAAAAGATAAACTTCGTTACTGTGGCTTTCCGAGACTTCTCTGAGGACGAAAGAAGACTTGATACTGGGACAGAATGTGAACTGTCAAAGGACATAAGGGGTTGGGACTTCTGGCATGGGCCAGAGGCTCATGGAGCCCTCCAAGTGGGCTCTCTACCAAAAACAAGACTTAAACAAACAGCCTGTGTATTACATTTAAATGTTAAAATGCAAAAGTCAACAGAACGGGGACTATTCAACTGCAAATGATCAACACATCATTTACACCACGACGAATGACCCAACTTTAAGCTGATTTCATTTATTCGGATGGTTACCGAAGAGTAAATGTCACAAAGTACCATTTTCAAGGTTCCATGCTATAGAGCACGAAGGGGCACATTTAAACTCCAAGTAGATAGCGGCATGCTAGAACAAAAAGACATCTGAACAGTTAGAGTCGATACTTATCTGAGCTTCTTGTCATAAATGTACTAAGACATGACAAACTGAAGGTAATATTACACTTAGCAAGGAATATTATTCTGTAGAGGAATTCCTCGTTTTCCAACTGGTATAAGAGGCTTTTGTAAGTTGCTTTTTAGACCAATTTAATGTAGCGTCGTGAAAGAAGCTCTGTTTGCCGTTTTGCTTCTGGAAACTTGCACAGCAAAGTCTCAGATCTAGTGGGTACATGTGCCATCCGGCTCTTCGATGGTGGTGGGAAAGGCCAATTTGCTTGCTGTGATTTTTCTGCAATCACGACTGTGACTACGTGCTACTGGACACCACCATCACTGTCCGATCCAACAGGTTTTCACAATTTAGCCACATAAATCTGTTAACTAGTGTTTGAATTCTACTGTTTTCATGATTCAAAAAAGCTTTTCTTAGATCAAAATTACCCTGATTTCCCCTGGAAGTGAGGGGAAAGGCCTTTTTTCGGTTGTATGAATAGCCAATGAACATTAAGAAAGACGTTTATCACAGCAAATAGAGTACATACTTCCCTTTCCCTCAACTTACTTGTGGAAACAAGTGCTTTTTATTGTCACTGTCGCTCTGTTTTTTCATTCCCTTACCAGGTTGGCGGTTGTATGAAGCTTCAATCGCATCTGCCAAATTACGTCGGTTAGAATACTAAAATCTCGAACCCTCTCTTGCTTGTGGTCATGGGTTTCCCCCTGTTCCATAATGCGCAATGCCTGTGACCTCTCCTCCATCTACTTAATCACCCACTCTCCAACTCTGTCTACTAACTGGCTTCCATCTCAGTGGCCCACTTTAGTTAATCTTCGGGTAACAAATTGGACAGTAAAGTCTTCTTTCTGTAAATAAGCCGTAATCCACCTCATTTCGATGCAAACATGATTGGTAGTTACTTGAAAAGGCAATGTTACTCCAAATGGAGTAGCAAATAAAGAAAGAGTTAGTTATTTTGACTGATTTTCAAATCTTCATTTTACCAGTAGAAGGTTCGTCTGTATCATTTGGAAAAGACCGTCATCTCAATGGATGGATATGCACCAGGACTGAGGAAGGGAGTGGAATCACCGATGTTCAGACAACTGTGGCAGGTGAACAGTGTCCTAAAGGTCGAATTAGTAAAGCCATTGTGTTTTTAACTGGAGCCATGAGACAGCAGACATTCCAGCGCGTTCCATTGTGTGGTAAAGGGACTGGCAAGTCAAATATCCATTTCTAATAATTCTAGCCTTAATTCCTTCACTGGAATGAGGGCGCAAGTCTGCCGATCAGCCGCTATTCGATTTCAATAACATGACATCAATGATCGGAAGGCCAGAATTTCAGCCGTTGAAATAGAACTTAACGGGAATGTTTGTCATCATAAGTGATCTATTTCGATACAACTTCAGAGCGTCTAATTATGAACTTGTAAAAGACGTGTCTCAGCTAATTTTTGACTGGTATTCACGTGCCCCATTCCCATGTAGCGCGAATGTACGCCCTACAAAGCACGTGACTATGTTAACTGGAAAATCCATTACCAAATACATAAATGGACTCCGGAGACTTGCCGACGAATCTGTTTCTTAGTTATAACTATTGAAAAAAGCTTCACGTGTTAAAATATGGAAACCCAAAATGAGGTGGGTTATTTGTAGACCACAGATTGGGGGTTATTAATTGGCCATTTCCGAGGTATAGTAAGCGAAACGGTGCTTGTTGCCAGCACTAATTAGTCCGACGACTCCCGATCCCGCAACCAATTGTCCTTATAAAACAATCAACAGAGTCGGACCATCAAGATCAGCGATACTTGTAGAATAGGTACAACTGATTTTACCGTCTTGTTATCTGAAACGGGCAAATACCCCAAAATGGACAGACACTGACGGAGCGCGCTCTTTCAGTTGGTGTGGTCGCTCATGGCTCTCTCTCTCTACTATTTACTCTCATTTGAATGATCTTCCCTAGCCCCTCCCTCTCACTCTTTTCTCTTCCTTTTTGGCAAGGATACGGACGGTTGGGAGAGGAGGGGAGGGAGAAAAGGGGACACTGATGCTTTCTTTTTCCGACTGACAAAATGATCTATCTTGAGACACCACCCTAGGGGCAGAGTAAATGGGGAAGTCTCATTTTCCTGTTTATTTAATACCAATCAGGATAAGGAAGAATGTCAAATTGAATTAACACTATGTATGCAATAGCTATGCTTTAATCTTAGAATTACTTGTGTAAAATGCGACGTCTTTTCATTAACACAAATGCCCATATTATAAGATGCTGATTTTGAGTTTCCTCTAAAGTGACTGACACCAAGCCTCTCCAATTGTGCGAGCAACTATGTTGGCCTTTCCACTCACCTACTATTCAATTCTCACAGTGGTAGTACTGAGGTTTGACCATGTCACCCATACCTATAGTCCTTCGACCTCCTCTAAATGGGTAATGAGACAACTGCCAGACTCGCATGCCTTTGAATGGCCTCAGAGACACCTTGGATCCTGCATGTTAAGCGATAGGACTTGTAGAAAGCGTTAACATGCATTTATTTCACTCCCTTTTGCTCAAAGACTTTAGGAAATGGTATTTCGGTGGCACTAGAAAGGAAGAATTGAAAATGGTTGCAAACATTTTAGCACTATCAATTCCTCTCAGTTTATTGAGTCATTGGAAAGAAATGTTGTATCTCTCTGGGGCTTTCTTAAAGACAAAGGAAATCATAATACTCCCGCATAATGTGCATTGTTGACTTACAGACGGACTGAGGGGTTACTGGAATGACCCGGAGGCCAGGCCGCTGGGTGGAGGAACAATGGCTATGTCCTACAGTGCCTGCGTCCCCAAAACAAAAAGCTAAACAAACAAAGTATTGCAAAATGCTTCTTTGCTGTATTAATAACGATAGATCCGAGGTTCCATCAAATCCACAAAATAAGGCGGTAATTTCATCTTGCCACTATTCCTTTCACCTTTTTCAGCTTAGTATTCGTTGAAAAATAATAACAAGAAGGCGCAAAGAAGCAAGAAACATCATTTCGCCCAAGTAGAAAGGGAATTAATCGCCTTGTTGTAAATGTAACTTTTAGATCTGCTTTCATACCTTTTGATTGCAATATCAACACCCTCTGGGTGATGGACTTGATAGGTAAGGTCAAAAGGGACCACACACGCACAGACATTATGCATTAATGAAGGATTTACATTCCCCAGCGGCATATGTGAGGCAGGAGACGTGCTCAGCCATTTAACAGTTGGCGACGTGGAACGAAGTGAAGCAATGGACAAAATAAAAAAGAAATTTGTTTTAAAAAAGATGCTCAAATAGAACAGGTGCTAAAAATCTTTTATTTAGTAAAAGATGAAGTAAGTTCAAAAGAGCAGGAAATATATCAAAACTGAACCATGATGGTGGAGCATATAGCATGTAAATTGAAAAAGCAAACCGTTCCATTGCCTTTGTTACGAACTGAACTAATTTTGAAATACACTGGTAAGCATCACCACGCGTTCACCATCAGCATCATACATGCTTGATGGCCTGAGTCCGGAGTCACAAATGTGTGACACGTTTTCTTAAATAACATGATAATCGGTTGCACTGAATCGCACCATAAGCCGATTTGTTAACTTTGAAACAATGAAATAGATGCAGAACTTTCTTAGTCTGGAGGTGATGACATCTTATTTATTGAGTAGTGGCTGAATTGGTCAATTCGGTAGTGCAACTGAAGGTGTCATATCGGAATAGCGAAGCATCTGGGCTGTGGCGGTAAATCTCTCTATGGGACTTCCAGATCTGATATGTTATTTGGTGAAAAATGACATGTATATGCTGTATGTGCTGGGTAGTGCACAAGTGGAAGAATTTAAAGCTATTACCTCAATGGAACAAAATATCCACCTCTTAATCTGTAAAAGTTAATTGAAAACAACTGGATTATCTTAATGATTCCATGTCAGAAGGTTTACAATGCAGACCTACTTTTCTTTTTATCAAAACGTTTATTCAATTCAGCATATTCTTACTATCCGTGGTACCCATAACACTGTTGTGTACCACCGTACCTATCTCTGAAGGGCTTTTCAAAGCAAAGAGGACTGTCTAACTTCATCATGAATGGATAGCTTGATAGAATTATGCATAACTCATATGCACATCTTTTTAATTCATGCATGATTGAAAAGACGGAGAAGAGACTACATCGTCTCATTTTTCAACTTAAGCACTTGCCTTACAGAAAACGACAGAAATACCCTATCGCAAACAAGGGTCTGGAAAACACCAAAAAATTACCAAAAGTGCCATCAAATGCATCGTCACTGAAATCCAGCATTTACTCCCCTAACAGAGAGAAGTCTGCATGACCCCAAGATGCCTTTGTCTGATTAAGCGCTGCTCCGAAGCAAAATCTGGCGTAAAATGCCTTTTTTCAGCAGTCACTTCAAACGGCTGCAGGCAGTACTACCCTACTCTCTTGACGTCATTTAGAATAATCACTGTAATCATTCATGTTCGCCTCTGTACGTCGCTTTGATGTTGCCTTTTTCTGGACGAAATTTTTTTCCTGGACGCCTGATCGTATCTCCTCTAGCATAGTTCTGATCCTTTGAATAAAAAAAGTCATTATTAATTAACCTTCTTCAATTTAATCACCATCTCTGGCTAAATAAAACGATAGAGTTTTTATCTCCATACCAGTAAGGATGGACTCTGGGCCCCATTCATTCATGTTTAATCAACATGAGAGGTTATTAAAGTCTTTTATTAATTAGCCTTGATAGAAAAATGTAAATGTATTCCAACCTGATTTAACCTTTACCATGGACACAAACTACACACCATAATCTTTGTTGGAATCGGGATACTTCTCAGTCTTTGTACTCGTTACAAAGGGAACCACATTAACATTAAGTGGTGTAACTCAGCCTCTTCAATCGCTACTTTCAAATGAGGTTATAGTTGATCAGTAGTATGACAAGTGGGTTAATCCAGTCGTTTTGGCTTGCTTATGACAATTCCTCCAAAAGGACTCACGAGAATTTTGATCCAGCATAGGGAGGTCAGTGTCAAGGTAGAATACTGATTACGGCAGCAATTTTGATAGAAAAGAAGGCAGTTTTACACGCTATAACGTTCTGCAAAGTGGACTTTTAAGCTAAACATTTCTTTCAATTTTCTACACTTTGTGAGCTATTTAAAAAGCTCCATTTGTAACAAACTCATCTCTGTTTAAAACTCCCTTGGCCGACAAGTTTTCGAAAAGGAGCAGAAAGATGAAACAACCAACTCCTAAGTTTACGCAATTTTTAGCAGATCAGCTTCACTTTCAGGTCCATGTCCAAAAGAGGAATCCTTAGGTAAGCAATTCTCTGCTGAATGTTTTGTTTTCTTAACTGGATTACAGAGATTACCATAACTGGAAACGTAAGTTCTTCACTGTAAAGACAGTGAGTGGAGGCATCCTCAGCCTCAAAGCTTCCGCAGGTGATGCGACTCAGCTATGCTTTAGCAACCATCAATTTAGTTGTCAGATAACCTAGATAGTAGGTGACCAGAAATATAGCAAGATGGTAAACTCATTCATAAGGAGAATACCCCTCCCTGTATACATGACGTTTTCTTCAGGGACAATTCGCAAGCAATTTTCAATCCACCAGCAAAGAGGAATAGTTAAATCCTAAAGCTCACAAACTACAACTAAATACACATAATTTTTAAATGATCGGCTGCCCGTTTGACTTCTTATCGCTCCCCTAACCAACTACTCAGTGCTTTTTTCCACCCCAATGATCCTTGATAATTGGGAGCTTCTTGATAGATATTCGTCCTCAGAGTGTACATGCATCCTAAATGTGTTGCAAGCATCAGCAACTACTAAAGCAGAATCAAGGTAGGTTTTCAAACAAGTAAAAGAAGTGGTGAAGTGACTAAGCAAGACATTTGACGTTGGCACAACCAAACTGTGGTTTCGTGTACACCAAGAAAAGATTTACTTTCAGAGAGTGATCAAATTCCTGACCAAACACCCCTTCTCCCACTCCGGTAACAGGACACTCATGACTCAGAGAGCTGTGGTTCGGTGCGGTTCCGCAATCTGCACCACACACACACCGCGGGTCCACCCCACCGTGCGCGGTTGAACGCGTGTGAAAGCACCATCACTGCTGGTTACAAGTTTCATGGGAAAGTGTGTGTGTGTGTGTGTGTGTGTAGAATTGGGCAGAAGTGTTTCGCAACTTGCCAAAGAGAGGAGGAAGAGGGGGAGCCTAGTCTGGCAACTTAGAAGTGCATGTCTACTTAAATGCTTCTAAAATACGGAGCACTTTTAAAGTGGACCAACGGGTCCATTCCTCTTATTTGACGAATGGCCTTGTAAGGCCCTTTGTGGAATGCATTTCTTCATTATTAGCAAGCTTCACAAATACTGTATTCAATTTTGATAAGGAAAAATGTTTTAAAGTTTACGTTTTTAGCATCCACGATTCCGGTGGCACTATCTTAGGGTCATGGCGCCACCCCTTTCAGTTCATTTAAAATTGGGCTATGTTCAGCTCATAAATTTATGATGTCTTCGATGTGAAATTGGGTGCCGATGTGTTAAGTAAATATTTTACTCAAGTTCTCTTATAAACATACCGCCGCTCGGCGGCCCAAAACTGTTTAGAAGTTGGCAAAATTTGCCCTACTGAAGATGGAAAGCTTATAGTACGCTTTAAAACGAAATATGGTAGGAATATTTCTCCACTATTAGCCTAATGATATAAGTTTATTTTTGAACCTTTCAAACCACACCCTATTCGGACAGTTTCTTTGATCCCTCTAACATGAAATTACATGGAATGTAGAGGGCAATAAACCCTCAGTAGAGGGCATCTCTTTAGCCGGACATGCGTCTAGCTAAAAACTAGCGGCCAGTTTCCCGACAACGTCAACTAGCTTTTGTATTTCCATCTGTTCGACTTTTTCCACTTAAAGTGAACTTCCTGATCATTTGGCAAAGTAAAATATTCTAACTTAGCGCAGAACGGGACCTTCTGGTTCTCTTAGGTCTTTCAGAGTTGGCTGTTGTGTTTGTGGGTGTGTAAATCAAGCCCGGTCCTTCTAAACGAGTTTTAGTCCAAATTCTATGCTTATGATCTAACTTCTGGACCTAAGTAAAGTCGTTCCTATTAGTGATCTAGACGAATTAAAAAGGAATGAAAAGGATAGAACTGTAAACTGAATAAAGGGAACCACTCATAATTTCATAAAATATGTAAAATCAGGTAATATATGATTAACAGTTTTATTAGCAAAAATAAAGCTTAATCGAAGACATTGTCCGAGAGATTAACAAATAATTATTGCCCCTGCCTTTGCCAAATTTTTATTAATGGGTTGTATACAAAATCGGACAGGCCTAATTCAAAATGCCCCAACCCACCCTCCTTTGATTAACGAACTAAACTTCCTTTTCACTTCTTAGAAATTAACACCACTTTAAGTAGTTCACCTTTCCATGCAAACAAGTTAAACAGTTGCATACAAAATTCGCCAAAGCAAGGGACTTTTTTCGCCGAAAAAACAGCAAAAGACATCCTGCTTCAAACGAGCTGGAATAGACCCATTTTTCAGTGTTGGAAGGTATCATTGCAGATATATTTGTGAATTCTAGAAACTAGGAGACATGAAAGGAGGGTCTGTCGTAGGAGCGACGCCGTGGTGATATCATCCTTAAATTGAGGGCATACAAGGCCTCCGTCTTCGTTGCGCAGGCCACACCTGTTCCTACGCCTCCCTTTTATCGCCTTCATTAAAATGTTTACGAAGGGAGAGGGAGTAAGTACATTAACTCTAGGCTAGAATTTTGATTATTTAAAAAATTCAATTAGTCGCTCTGGAACTGAAAATATGCGTGCTTTAAATAAGTCAATAGAAAAATTCCCTTTTCTGCATTCCAAATAAAAAGGTGGAATTTAAGTATTTTAAATTCCAAATTTCACCACTAGGCTAATTACTGGAAGTCTCACGAATCCCCAATTAAGGCGACCTTCTCAAATTTAATGCTTCGTTTTTCCCCAACTAAGCATTCTACATAGACTTGACGGTCAGATGGGCACGGCAGATGGAGAGGGGGAGAGGATCGAGGGGAGGGGAGGGGAGGGGAGGGGAGAGGGAGGGTGGGGTACTGTTATCCCAAAGACAGCCCCAACTGTCATCGCTTAATGTGCGCTAATGGGATGTCGTAACAACCGATCCACTGAACAAAAGGGAGTCTGAAATTCGGAAATGACGGTAGTCCCACTTAAATGAATGAGGAGAAACGAGGTGGAGACTGCTTTTGAGCGTTTAAAATTGGACCAACTCTCACCTCTCAAGCGAAATATATAAACAATAAACAGAGGAGGACTGCACAATAGCTTCAACGAAATGCGATTTTCATTTGATTAAATTGACAAAGGAGTCAATAAATCGATTCGTTCGATTTACTTCTCCAAGTCATGGCAACTGAGATGCAAAATGCAGCTTTGTTGTGTTTGGGGAGAATGGAATAGCGCTGCTTGAAACAAGATGCAGTGAATCATTCTTCACCCTCGCTCTCCACCCGTCCCCCACCACTCCCCTCCCTGGCAAACTTGTAATGCGGAATTATTTAATGAATCATATTTCTCTCTCTCTCACTCTCTCTCCTTCTTTTTTACCAAAGTTCAAAGTCATAAATCACACGTTAAGTCGAAGAGCTAAATGTTAGTTTTTAGCCTTTCTCTCCCACACAGGTTATCATGCTGCTATACTGGCAAAAAACGATGTGATGGAGCGCAAATGAGGGAGTAAAACAGTATGGAAAGAGTCCAATTTAAAGGAACAGGTATTTACAATTTTTTTTGTTTCTTTGTCAGGTATCAAGTTTGTTAGAATTTTTAAAATTGCACGCACCCCTCAGAGGATCGTGAATGTATGTAACTGGGTTGAGGCGATTGCTGTTCAATCTTTCCTACGGAAGGCACGACAAAATTATCTTCACCTAATTTGTATTAAAAATAAATTCTACACATACAATCATATTTGGAATTTGTTGCGTTGGGGAGGTTGGTTAAGTAACGCTGGTAAGCAATTTTATCAAGAATTATACCATACAAAAGACAAAGCTGACGTAGCAAGACCCCAAAAACGTGGATTTGAAGTTAGCGAAATCCTTTAGCCATTACGTGGAGTTCGAAGCACCTTCCAGACTCACTTAAATAAAGAAGTGCTAACACTAAATAGTAGCAAAAGTCAAATAAAATCTTTTGCTGTTTTAAACAACTTTTTAGCCAAACTTTGTGTCTAAAAATCCTAAAAATGCAAATTTATTTTTGAAGAAAGGAAGGTGAGATCAAATATG